GCATTCATTTAATTATTATATAAATTAATAGATTGTCAACTGCGTTACAAATAAATAGACAGGAATTGGACATTAATTGATGGCTAAACCTCATTCTTCTTGTGGTTCTCTGAGCTTGTCTTTGGCCATAAAGCCCTCGATACAGTTAGCTCATGGCTTTGATAAACTTTAACTTTCTTAAGCACCCAGCAATACTTCAACTCATAGATACTGTTGAGCTAATCGATTATCTTGCTTTATTGTATGACTTGGGTTTGTAGCTGATATAATGTGCGCTCTAATTGGCCAATTGTATGGCATTATTCTCCTCTAATGCCCACGGGCCAATTACAGGCCTGCAAAACCAAAGCAAATAGCCATATAATAAACAACTTATCATCCTCAAATGTTTGGTCTTAATGGGAAAATCTCAAACTTTGATCTTGCCCTATTGACCTTGCTATTGCTTGGTCAATATGCCGAGGTCTCAGTTTGAGATTTTACTTTAAAGATTTCACTTCTGGTTAATAAGTAGTTATTAACAACTAACTTTCATTTTATCGAATGATAATGTTTTATACTCTTGTTGTCAATAGGCCCAACCTTTGGAAGTTGTTTGTGACTGTGGAAAAAAAAATTATAAGACTAAAGTTGGATATGACAGGCACAGGGCCACAAAATGTGCTGAAAATGAGAGAGATGGCCACATTCACATTAAGTGCTCTAGCCAAGATAGTAAACAGTGCCATGGAGAAAATTAAAGAAAGAAAGTTGTTTAATACATACCAACATACATGCATACATACACACATACTTTATTGAGACGCCCTTCAACAGGGCTTTTTGGTCACAATGTTAACTCTTACAGGATACTGGTAATTATAAAATAACTGAGATACTACACACGTTCTGATTGGTCAATAGAGTTGCTAAACCTATGTTCTATTGTACCGATAAACCACGGTTCCTGATCTGTGGCAGCTCTATGTGGGAACTAGAGAACTCGGAACTCTAGCAGTAACAAATGTAATAAACAGTTTTGCCTTTCACTGGCTGAGATATCAATAACACGCATATCTTTTCATTCAGCATACACATGGAAATTTTTAAGGAAAAAAAGGATCAGAAGTTGGTCGTCATATGAGGCTTTATTTTTTTTCTTCCACGGCAAAAATTTTACGCTGACTCTGGTTACACTTGAGATTAAAATTAAGGAAGTTTTAAACCCTTTTTCGGTGCTTTCCATGGTCTGTGGAGGACGAAGTCATCTGGGCCTGACTGATCAGTTTGGGTTGTCAAAAAAGCAGGGAAAAGATTTCTTTCTATCAGAAATTTTGAGTTTAAACTCAATGCATGCACACATAACATGATAAATGAATTTGGTTTCCATAAACTTAGCATTCAAGCAATAGTTTTCATTTAGCAAAATACAGAGAAACACAGAGTTCATAGCCTTCAGCGTAAGTAAATAAATTCTGAATAAATTTTGGAAGCAGCATTTCTGTAACTAACCTTTATTCCATTCAAAAAACTTTAGAAAGTTGTCGTTAAACACTGCATTGAATTACTGTGCCAAGCACATGAAGTTTGGACTACTTGCACACTTTTCGTACAGCCTTTTACTTTCGTGATGACCAATTCCACCCACGAATGCCTGCATTTCCCTGTCAGAATACTTTTAAGTTAATTAACCCTTTACACCCCAAAGCAAATGGCTGTTTTTCCTAAATCCACAAATAAAGACTCTCTGCCTGTGTACAATATACCATTCGAAAGCCACTGATCAGCTTATTTAAGAACTGACATCAGCAGTTATGAGTCATTTTGAGAGAAATTGTTTTAAAATGTGAAACTGAAAAGCTTCCAACATGTATCAATTCTCAAATATCATAGGTATGCCCCTGAACTATAGCTTATTTAGCACGTGGTAGTACATAGCTTGATGTGAAACAAGTCTTGCATTTCATGTGCATTTTGTATGAAACATATTATTAGAAAGTGCTTAAAACTATCAATTTCTTTAGTGTTCTTAATATTAATGCGATCATCACTAACGAGATGCATGACCAAGTGGTGGTTTCGCTGTTTTGTGACTTTTTTTGGGCATATTCAGCATCGATAAAGCACCAAATTGCAATTTGTTCTTGGTCTGTTTCTCAGTTAAAACTACAAACAAAAAAGTCACAATTATAATAGGCTGAAGAAAACAAAACCCAAGAGAACATTTGAGCATCTATTGGAAGTCGAATCATCATAAACAACATGTCTTGAATGCAAATCATATGAGATATCAGTTCCACATCTTCAGCAGCAAAATGCCTTTCACAAGAAAAAACTTGATCTTTTTTTATAAATTCCTTGAAACTATGGTCTAAATCCCTTGTCTTTTATATTTCTCCAAGCCACTTGTCCCTCCACTTTGCATGCGCTTCG